CATTTTTTTCTCGGTGTTTTCATGCCTCCAGACAATGTAGTTATTGTCTTTGTTGTTGTCGAGCGTTATTTTCGTGCCGACTGTTCGATGCACAGTATTTGACCCTTATCTTTGATTCTCGAGGGGTGTCTCGGTGCATTGTGGTTCTGCTCTGGCTGAGTGCGACACTCAGACCATGTTTTGTTTGTCAATATTCAAGGTTGAGTTCGTTCCTCCGTGCCGCCCTTACTCGTTGTGAGAATTAGAGCTCTGTGACATGAACTGTGAAACTCGAATAGCCCCATTTCTATTAGCTTTTAGCTTTTCAAAGCGCAACATTCGACTCCTGTGTTTTGCTTCTATAAGAGGGACATCTTTTTCCGAGAGAAAAGGGTACTTGGCGAACGGTTGTGGTGCTGCTCTGGTGGCGCGAGACACTCAGGCAAGGTCCTGTTTGTCGATATTCAAGGCTGAGTCCGTTCCCTCGTTCTGTTGAGACTAGGTTGGGAAGAACAAGTGACAAGAGTTGATTTATGTACTTTGAAAAGCTCTCCGTCTGTAGTGGTGGTGATTTTCTCCATCATCCGCATGAAAGCGCTTGTTTTATTGTTTTGTGCTCTCTGTGGAGGTTCCGGGACCACCCTTGGCGAAGGACTGGGCTAGCATGGCGTGCTTGTCTTGTTGTTTTGTTGTTTTTGCACTCTGTATGAACCACCCTTGGCGAAGGACTGGGCTAGCATGGCGTGCTTGTCTTGTTGTTTTGTTGTTTTTGCACTCTGTATGAACCACCCTTGGCGAAGGACTGGGCTAGCATGGCGTGCTTGTCTTGTTGTTTTGTTGTTTTTGCACTCTGTATGAACCACCCTTGGCGAAGGACTGGGCTAGCATGGCGTGCTTGTCTTGTTGTTTTGTTGTTTTTGCACTCTGTATGAACCACCCTTGGCGAAGGACTGGGCTAGCATGGCGTGCTTGTCTTGTTGTTTTGTTGTTTTTGCACTCTGTATGAACCACCCTTGGCGAAGGACTGGGCTAGCATGGCGTGCTTGTTTTGTTGTTTTTGCTTGTCTCCGGTGTGCGTTTTTTTGCCGTGTCCCCTTTCGTATTTCTTTCCTGCACGTTTCGTGCGTGTATCTCCCCTACCTCTCCTACCACCGAGTCCCGCTGCGGACTTCGAACTGCTGGTTCGTGGTCTTACACATTTAGACAGTTTGGCACGATGACGACGTACGAAAAACAGTAGATGGCGGCGGCCGCGCGCATCTGACCCACAACCTTTCGCGCAGGCGTAGAACCTTGAAACAGAGGTTTCCGCGTACATGTTTGGAAGCCATCGTCGTCGTTGTCACAAGCCGGGCGGGACCTCCTCTACGCGCGCCTTAGATGACGGCCGCGTGCATCTGACCCACAACACAGCCCAAGCATACGTTTTAAGCGCGCGCCTCCGACCCTGAAACATAGGTTCTCAAGCCGGGACCTTCTTACGCGCGCCGAAGCGACCACATCAACCAATGAGCCTATAAAAATGGAAGTGGGGCGCTATTTTTCCCAACCAACTTACCCGTCGTCGCCGTCGCTTTACATTATTCAGTTTCACACTAGCATTCGAGGGCCACACGTGTCCAGCGGGACGTGCAGCGCGGGTGGGTTGGGGTCGCCGCTATGCCGGGTATATGCATAATAAGAAACAATAAAACGCCGTGGCAAGGAGAAGTGTAACCCAGGGTCACGGTTTGCGCCGTTGGGGGTATCGGCATTACTTGTTCTCGTGCCGCCCGTGCCGAAGCCCCGGGCCACCGCCGCCTCTGCGCGCACCGACCGCGGCAGCCTGGTTTCTTAATTTTTTACTCCTCAAGGATACACTATTCCATACCCTGCAGAACATTAAAGTATTTCTGAGGTTGGGTTTTCCTCTCGAACCTCTGGAAAGAAACCCCCTGACCAATCGATGCCACAAGAAGGGATCGGTGCCCCGCAAGAAAAAAACCGCTGTACCCCGAACAAGTAGCAGGCTCAAGAAGGCAGCGACTCGCTCACGGCCAAGTGTGTGGTGCGAGCTGTCGCAACTCCAGGCTCGTCGTCTGATTCTCAAGGTGGGCCTTGGTCGCGATCTCGTGCCTCGAGACCTACCCACCGCGAAAAACCCCAACAGGCTGTGTGAAACGCTGACGAGCATGCTCAAAGCTCCATGTGTCAGAGGCTGGAAGGTTACGAAATTCATCTCCGAGGGATCGTTCGGCCACGTCTTCCGCGCGCTGAGAAATGATGGCACCAGAGCAGTAATCAAAGTCAGATTGGTTCCGCGAAGGAAATAAAGGGCGAAGCCGTTGCTCAAAAGAATTACTGTACCACGGTAAGGGTCTTGCCCCCAAGATACTAGGGTAAAAAACCGACTGAGAAAATCGGCACACGAGCGACTGAATTACCTCGAATACGATGATGACGACATAGAGTATCACCCCCGGGGCCATTTGGTCCACATCATCGTGATGGAGGAGATTGCTGGCGTTATCGGTGACTGGCTACATCCCCAAAGTCAAAAGAACAGCTCGGACAGCGTACGTACGTTCAGCATTTTTTATCTAATGAATTCTTACAGAAGGCACAAACTGACACATGCCGATCTACACTTGCGGAACTTGGGGTACGGATTTGGCGTTGTTTTAATGATTTTTTCGTACGTGTACACCGACGCGTCGAAGAAACATCTGAAGCTGATGCCGATTGATTTTGGGAGGTCTAGCAAAGGAAAGCTTACACGGAGTTGGAGGTTTGCCTCTTGCGCTTCCTTGGCAAAATATTTCACGTGAAAGGAGAGGGGACGGATGAAGCACGTCCCAGACTGGAACCGGCGGGTGGTGGCCAATCTTGCTCGCACGCTTGCCGAGATGAAATACGGCATTTCGTTTCCTAGATCTTTCAGCGAGGCGGAAGACAGTTTTTGCAAACAGTTGGGAAAATTCACGAAAAATATGGTTTCTGGTAGTTTTAGCTTTCTTACTCTCAGGGGCATACTAGGCAAATCGAGCGTGTCTAATTTCAGCAGTTTTTACGTGCGTCCCGCGGGACGTGCAACAACATTTTCCCCGAGAGATCGGGGCCCACATGTCGCGTTTGGGTTCCCGAGAGACATATCTAAAAACCCTCGGCGTCCTGGTGTGTGATGGAAGTTAATTGACTTAATCATTTTTGATCATCTCTCAACGCGATATCCAGGCGACACAATAAAATTGCCACAACTGGGCCGCGTCGTCCCGGCTTGTCACAAAACATGGTTCAATGCAATCATGAAATAAATTCAATGACACCGCGTGTCCAAGTCAAAAGCACATGCCAACCACCGACCACAGTTAAGAAAAACAATCACATATTCTGGCTGTCGCACACGCACTCTACTTTCTTGCAACCCTTGCAAAACCAATAGGACCACTCGCTTCTCCCCTCCTGCTTCTGCCTCCCAACAATATCCCTGACCATTTTCTCTTTCTTTCTTATGGGAAACAGTTCGTAGAATTGAAGCACATCGCTACGACTGGAATCGTCCTCCCCAACGTGCGCCACCATGTACTCTCTGACCTGATCCTTACACAATCCGCCAAACGTAGAAACATGGTACATGCAGTTCTCCAATGTGCGTCGCGGATATGACTTGCCCGGAACCAACTTCATCCGCAGCAAGAGAGGCATAAGGTCGACCGAAAATGTACCCCTCTTCATCCGCTTTCTTGGGGGCTGACTGGCCTCGTCTATGCTCTCGACACCCTTACACGACGCATCTCCCTTGTCACAAGAGGGTTGGACAGAAGAGCGCTTGTCACTTACCACCGAACCCGACCCCGCGCTCGCACTAAGCCCATGCTTTCGTTCAATCTCTTGCCTCTCGACTTGCATTTTGACTATTTTGAACTTAAGTTCCTCTTTCCCAAGTTGCTTCTGAAGCTCTTTCGTCTCATCGTCTCCCCGAATGTTTTGAGTTGAGATTCCTCTGCTCTGCATTAAAATCTCTCGATTCTGTGCAAGTAAGTATCTCACGCATCAGCTTTTCTACAACACCGTCAGTCGGCTCGGGTTTGTTCCCGTCGAACAAAGAATCACCAATCCACGTGTTCAGAGCGTCGTGCTGCTGGTCACGTATCGCATCCTTGTCGCTCAAACATGAACGGTTGTTCAGCTCCTGCGCACTAATGATACCAGATATCTGCCTACTGAAGGAACTGGGATCATCATTCACGTTGTCACTTTTTGCCAAGTTGTACGCTTTTCTCATCTCGTACTCCCCGTGCCTAGCCAGCGCAAAGTGGTTTAACACCCTGTCATCCGACTGAGGGATTCCCAGCGTATAACAGACCGTCATAACGGTCGTGACATGGATCGTACGGAGGATATTCGGCCCGAACGCGGGTAAGCCCAAAGCATACTTCCCCACGTGGAGATACATGCTGCGCAGCTGACCGTCGTTGTAGTTTTTTCCGTACTTGGTGAACGGAGCTGCCTTGTCACCAAGCTCGGCAAACTGTAAAACCCTCGCTTGCCTACGACGGCGATTTCTCACATTATCCTCCTGGTCAGCCTTCTCTGAATCTCTGGGTGCGTAATGTTGAACCTCTTTATCGGCTCTGTTGAGAGAGTCGCTCGCGGCAGCAAGGTCTCTACGTGCGTCGTCTTCGCTGAACTCATCTGAATCTATCGCCTTCGAGAGTCGGCCCTCTGCATCTCTCTGTTGCTCACGCGCCAGCTGTTGTTCGGCACACGCCGCTTTGTAGTTTTCTTGGAGGTGCATTGTCATCAACCGTCGCCCGATCACGAGCATCACCGCAAACGGACCTGTGAATTGAATGTTCGTGAGGTGGGTTATGCCATCCTTACGAAGGCTACTGCGGTAGTACTCATGTGTGGTTTTGAGCTATGCAAGTGCGCAAGTGCGTGGCCGTCCATCGGTCATCTGGATATTCGGGGTATCTCCGGTAGTATAATCTTTGGCAAGTTGCCGCGCGTTCCCTGCTGTCATGTGTTCCGAGTTCCGAATGCGTCTTGCGACTGTTGCTCGCGTGCCTCGGTGTTTGTTTGTGATGCACCCGAGTGCCCACTCTCTTCCGTTGCTTGTGTCTACGAGGACAACCAATGAAACGACCTTACCATCTCTTCACATTGTCAACCGGGACAGCCGTGCTCACCCAGCAGCACTCGGCTTGGGGCCAATCAACATTGAAATGGACAAATCGATTGAGTGGCACGCGCTACCACTAACAACACCATCGGTCGGAAAAAAGCAAGGGCAAATGAGACGACAATACTCGTGACAATACTTGCAAATACAATACCCAATTTTCTAGCACGTTGAACAAAAAAAGACCTACCTGTCGTCCGCTCATCCTTTGCGTGGTTCACCACCANTTGTGATGCACCCGAGTGCCCACTCTCTTCCGTTGCTTGTGTCTACGAGGACAACCAATGAAACGACCTTACCATCTCTTCACATTGTCAACCGGGACANAACGGACCTGTGAATTGAAATGGACAAATCGATTGAGTGGCACGCGCTACCACTAACAACACCATCGGTCGGAAAAAAGCAAGCGCAAATGAGACGACAATACTAGTGACAATACTTGCAAATACAATACCCAATTTTCTAGCACCATAAAAAAAAAAAGACCTACCTGTCGTCCGCTCATCCTTTGCGTGGTTCACCACCATCCCAATTACGCTATTGACCAGGGTCCTGGAGTTTTTTCCGACCGGTGTGAGGACAATCACCAATCGGCCATTCTTCACGTACGCCTTGCACGCCAGACACCCTAGCGAATCTTGAGGCCGAAGGCAAGCTGACGTGAGCGAGTCGAGGATGTGGAGGGCGCAGCTGAACCGCTCCAGGTCTTCGGTGGAAACCCTCGCCTTCGCCAAAACGCCGACCACCTCGTCGATCTGTTCCTCGTACTTCTCGGGATACAGGTGCCTCTCGTCATCGCGCTTCCCNAGGCGCAGCTGAACCGCTCCAGGTCATAGGTGGAAACCCCCGCCTTCGCCAAAACGCCGACCACTTCGTCGATCTGTTCCTCGTACTTGTCGGGATACAGGTGCCTCTCGTCATCGCGCTTCCCGATGGTAGCCCCCCCGCCGTCGTGAAGCACGTCCAGACACATCTCGATCACTTCCTTCCGCCGAACGGCGTCCCCGATTTTGGCCATGATGGGCTTGATGCCGTTCTCCTCCACCAAGTCGGCCAAAAACTTGCACTTGTCTTTCCAGTCCTCGATACTGAAAGTTCGGCCTTTNCCAGACACATCTCGATCACTTCCTTCCGCCGAACGGCGTCCCCGACTTTGGCCATGATGGGACTGATGCCGTTCTCCTCCACCAAGTCGGCCAAAAATGTGCACTTGTCTTTCCAGTACTCGATACTGAAAGTTCGGCCTTTATCCACCTTGCTCCCGTTTCCCAGCCGAGATAGGCTGTTCTCATGAGCGTTGGCCTCATTCCTCTTGTCGGACGCCACCGGGTCATACCCATCGAAGATGCTGTTGAGAACACGCAGGTCCTGATCCTTCGTCGAACTGATTTCCACCGCGCTCTTGTAAAACGGCCGGTGTCGTCGCGTCTGGGAGACCCTGGTCGTGTTTTCGGTCGTAGGTTGGATGTCACCCAGGTGCTCGGGACGGGTGAATTCGATCTGTCTGTAAAGCGGACAGTGTGCCCACCACTTGAAGCAATCCGAAACACCGTAACCAGTCCACACCCTGGCCCTGGCCAAAAGCAACCGTGTACCCAGTCCACACTTGGACGCGTCCTCGGGGCTGATGGTGCAGATCGTCTGCTTCGTCTCGTAGTTTGGCAAATCCACTTCCTCCGAAAGCTCATCGACCGCTCCCCC